CACATCTATTTTGTCTGATGCAATCAAGGGTTCCAACATATTTTCTTTGTCAGATCATGAAGGTTAGTTCTACAGTCCAGATCTGATTTTTCTAAGCTTAAACTCAGTGCTCATGATAATACACTCTCTCATATTATTGATATGGCAAATCCTATATACAAAGAGCAATCTTACGTAATTGTAAGTCACTACCATCTTGGCTCAATGCCTTTCCTATTCAGCAGGAACATTTTGATTTATCGGGCAATGAGTTTAGAGATGCTCTCTGTCTCAGATACTTAAAACCTTTATTGAGCACTCCTACCAACTGTGATGGTTGTAATGCCCCTTTCACAACCTCTCACGCATTAGATTGTAGAAGTGGCCTTGTTCTTCAGAGACATAATGAAATCAGAGACTTTATTTTCAATATTTCCTCTATGGTCAGGGTTTCATAGAGAGGGGGGTGGCACTGGGATTTCCCCCCCACAATAAATTCTGTATGAAAGCCTGCTCAATGAAGCAATTAAAATAATTACAAATATACATTGTACATGTATGCAGAAGCTAGCACAGTCTAGAGTCCCCCCCACAAAAAATTTCTGTATGAAAGCCTGGGTCTGGAGTCAAACCATCAAGGAGCCCATGGTAGATGAAAGCTCGTCCTCTGACAGCCTTCGAGCTGATGTTGAAATAAGAGGTGTCTGGCAGCCACAGGGTATGTGCTTGTTTGATGTAAGAGTCATTGACTCCGACGCCCCCTCTTATCTAGACAGGAGTCCTGAACAGATTCTCAAAACACCTGAAAGAGAGTAAAAAGCTACATATAGTGAGCACTGTGAACGGAGACATGTGAGCTTCTCTCCCTTGCGCGCTACTGTGGACAGTCTGATTGGCCCAGAGATGTCTATATTTTTGCAACGCTTGGCCAACAGACTTGCTCTGAAGTAGGACAGGAGATATAGCACGACTTTGAACTGGTTAAGAACTAAGCTCTTATTTGCCCTCATCCGATCAACTAACTTGTGTGTAAGGGGGAAGAGAACAAAATGGAGGGGTTTGAGTTTTGAAGACAGCCTTGGTCTGAATGACTATTCCTAAATTAATTTTATCTAACTTCACTTTATTTTATTCTATTTTCACAACTTATGATTATTCTTCATTCAGTTTTTCAGCATGTTTAATAATAATTGTTAAATAAAAATATAAATAATTATTTCATAATAATAATTATTATTAATAATTTAATTAGAAATTAAAGTTAGCACGGACTTAAGTTACCGTTTTCTCAAAAATTGCTAAAATTCACTAAATTAAATACCTACTAACAATTGTCTCCTTAAGGTACCATTGAAAATAATTCACATTCAAAGGAAGCTTGAGGCCCAATCTATTTGCAAGCCAAAGTGAGGTGGCACATATATAGCTCCAAATTTCTGTGGTCTAAAATATTCATGACTTTCCTGATTTAATAATCACAAAAATTTTGATCACAAAACTATACAGATCGCCATTGTAGCAGTAGAACATGTTGGTTAATTTACAAAAAATTATATCCATGAACATCCAACTTTCAGTAAAATCATAAAAATTTTAGAACACAAAAGTATGGAGCTATAGAGTCTTGTCCCACCTCTTCCTTGCACAGGGGTGGCGCAGATGACTCTATAAAGACACTCCTACAAAATTTGATGCACTAAGCACAGGTTTGGGCACACCAATCAGATTACTGCAGTCACATGAAAGTACATTTAAAAATTTCCTTAAAATTACATTTCATAATAGTATTGAAAATGCAATGTGGAGTAGAATTTGTGTCACAAGAGTAAAAATCTTTATTTTAGATTTTAGTTGCTCAGAATCCTACCGTATAGCAGGAAATTTTGGTATGGTTTTTAATGGTCACTATAGAATGCCAGCATTGCACACATAAAACTTGTCTAGTACAGTAATTTAGTAACAGTGCATGCCTCCCATTGCCACTTGTAGTACTAAGAGTTATGATATCTTCTTATACTAATAATTGTATGTACTACTGACAATAATAACGACATAAACTATAAACCACTTTACAAAATACTAAAAACAGTTAGTAAATACCAGTATATTGCCAATGCTTACTTGGCCAAATTTTGAAAGTGCTTTACAAATTTGTATAAAATCCAATTTTAATCAGAATCAACTCAAACTTAGACCTAGTCTGGCCCCACTCCTTTGCTGTGTGGGGACTGGGGAGTGGTGTGGAAGAGTCTGGTGACACTGCTGCAAAATTTGTTACACTAAGCACAGGTTTGGGCATACCAATCAGATTACTGCACTCACATGGAAGTAAGTTTGTCATGTGAACTATTTAAAATGACTGCAAGTATGACTGACAAACCTGCTGTAGACACAATAAATGCTGGCCAAGGAACAGAAACTAACAGTTCCAGGAGTAACAGAAGAATAAGAAGAATTTTCAAGTTAAACTTGGTTAAAAAGTATACATATTTTCTGTTTTTACTCCCACTTGAATTAACTAGAGCTTTGATACATTCCTTCTTGCCTTTAGCTAATGTACATGTCGCTCCTCTCTAAATGAGGCTTACTTCTGCAAGAAAAGCCTCAAAAAAAGTTATGATGTGACAGCAAATTTTAATAACTAAAATAACTGCTAAATATTGCATTCCTTTCTGCAACAAATTCTGTAGCAGTGTCACCAGACTATTTCTGCACCACCCTTGTGCAACAAAGAGGTGGGAGACTAGGAGCTATACAGTATTTCTGTTGTAACAACTTCCAACTCTCACTATATCATGCTCAATTCAACCAATAACTGATAATACATGTAGCTACAAAACAAGAATTACAATGTAACATGATCACTCACTGCTCCTTCAGGAGGTTGCTTTATCTTTCCCCATTCAACTTTTGCTCCAACATTCCTATTTTCAAGATAGCGTCCAAACAATTCTTTAAATCCTAACAAATTTTCAGAGAGGTTCTACAGAAAAAACTTATGTCAATATTCTCATTATTGTAAGTTAAAAAGAGTGCTACATAATATTAGCAAAAATGACACAAGTACATAGACCAACATACCCACAAAAAGGTTTAAACTAGATGTATAAGGCTTGTATTATAATGACAAATAAAACAAGGCACCTACAGTGCATGCATGGTCTTGCACTAATTACTGTTTTATACATAACTTAGGCTGTAAAATTTAAATTAAAACAAAGGAACAAGGACATTTCAATAACTGGGGAAAATCCTTGTCACAATTACACCACATACTACATACGTAGTTGTCGCAATCCTCTCTACCCATTTAACAACTTCTCCAAATTAAGAGAATCCCTCTAAAAGCATTTGTGAGATGTACATGTAGAATACATGTATCTCCCAACTAGTACATTTTCATGGTTCTGTCCTTTGTCAATCATGGCTATGTGTAAAGTCCATTTCAGTTGAGTTATAGCCACATCCACAAGCGAACTAAATAGCTGAAGGTTTGAGTCTTATTGTTGCAATTAGATTATTTTCCTTATTTGGATCCTCCTACCAGGGTTGGAGTTGATTACAATTATAATCATAATCAATTGTAATCGATTAGATTTTTTCGATAATCATAATCGTAATCGTAATCAAACAAATCCTGCAGCTTCTAATTGTAATCATAATCATAATCACACAATTAAGGCATATAATCATTCCAGTAATCATACATATGGCAAAGTGTGTAAATAGTGCTACACAATTATGATCATATTTTATAGTATTGTGTTAACTACTGCAGTAATTTGAACTGCAACTTTAAAATAAGGTTTTTAAGTCAAAAAATCTCATTTTCTTCAACATTTATGTTCTCAGAAGTAAAAACAAGACAAAGTAACTAACAAATATTGAACAATTGAAATGTGTATAATCATTGTATAATCATCATGAATTTATTGTAATCACATGATAATCATGCACATATAATCATAATCGTAATCATAATCATCAATTTTGTCAGTAATCATAATCATAATTATTCACAAATACCCAGGTATAATCATAATTATAATTAAAATTATGCTAAGGTAACCAACTCCAACACTGCCTGCTACCTCTGCAGATTACATGAAGGATCTTTATGCTTGTTATTACATGTACATGAAAAAGGAAATGAGACTCTGATCCGTAAAAAGCATAAATAGCAAAGAAATTAAAACTATGTAGGTGCCCCTATAAACTAATGGAGAGCAAATTACATTATTACTTCGCGCATCCTGTTGTATGGAAGAAGTTTACGTTTCACAGTGTCTAACTTAGTCCCATTAGTTGCAAAAAATCAAAAATTTTGCATAAAATATCTCATAGTCATGACTTATACATTAATCAATACAAAATTCATTCAGTTAAACAAAGCAATGAATTCATATAATACTAACAGTGCATGAACATCAAGCAGAGATGCTTCTCAAACGTTCTGTGCCTTCTACTAAAATATCTCATGCTGTACATCAAAATAGCAAGCATAGATGATAAAAAGAACAATCAAGTGCTTTGAGTTGTGGGTAACTAGGGCAATCTCAGACTTGTAACTCATAGATCTTCAAAAACTCAAATTTTGTGCCATTAGAGTGACAAATTAAAGTTTCTGTACCTTATATTCCAAAATTTCAAACATTTAAGCAACAAAAAGCACATGCAACAGACAAAATAATGCTTTAGTGACTAGCATTGATATATTCTTTTGGAATCCTATAAATCAGTCATGCAGTGGTGTAGGATTTTTTACCACACCAGTTTGCACTACTCTCTTGTTTCTTTACTTTTTTCCAATTCAATCCTACTACTTTTTAATTTAAATGTTTTTTATTTACTTTTAGTATTATTTTTACTTAATATCATAGCTTCCACCTTCATATAGATAATAAAAGTTTATTCCTCTCATTTAGATGAGCATATACACACAATTGCTGCGAAGCAGAAATTTCCTAATGGCTATAAATTTTGGTTAAATATAACAGTTTTTTCATTGCATGAATTCTACAACTTAGCTACATGTACATGTAGGTAGTCTGGCAACGCGAAACTAACCAAATTTTTACAAGGAGAGAATTCTCCTTTTTCTGACACTAACAGCTAGGATTACATAAATTTTACTTTTTGATTGATGGGATCCGCAAGTGCTACCAACTGCTCCAAATCATTCTGAACTATAGCTAGAGCAACATCTTTCTCCATTAAAATCTAAATGGCAGAAAGCAGACAAAATTTAACTATTACATACATTGTTATACATATATAAAGTATATATCAAAAAAGGCTGAGTAGCTACTCTGTAGTTACTCTACTTTCGCATAAATACTTCAATGCTCCTTTGCTACACATGCTTAATGCAACAGTAGCAGGACAGTAAAAGACAGTAGCTTGACAGTAGAATGGAACAAACAACATCCTAAATGGGCTACTAGAAGGAGAGTGGCAGTATAGATGAACTTGGAAAGCACAGTCAGCCAAAGGAAGCATCCATAACTTCTACTACTGTACATGTGACAGGGTGGGATCATAGCATGACGTAGCAAAGAGTAACAAAGTAAAACAACAACTACCTACGAACTACCTTCAGAATTCTCTTCTCTACCGTACCTTACTTAGCCTTTATTGATGTGTACCGTATATGCAATATTCATAACATGCCAGTGAGTGCTATATGGCTTTTTATAAGGACCAAGCCTAAGGGCAAGATTCTTATAAAAGCCATATAGCACAAGGCTATGTGTTATAAATAATATATAATAGGGTGGAGTGAAACATTCAACAAGTATGTAGTGTAGAAGGTCAGTTTATATAGGCCACTGTGGTCACTTTGCAATGCATGCATGTATGGAATATAAAACTCTGCTAAACCTTTGAAGTATGGCTTCATCATGATTATAGGATTATATGTAATATCAAGAGTAGATGATAGTTAGAGAGAGTGTCGAACTGCACTATGCTAGCTGGAATATGACCGCGTAGAACTTTCTTGCGCATCTTTGGGCATTCCCGCATACTGGGTGTGGCTGAGAAGGAAAAAATGGCTGCCTAGTTTGCTCAACAAGGTTTACTGGCCGTTTTGGAGTCTCTGCTATAGCTGTACTGCATAACAGGCTTCAGCAGGATTATAAAGTGTACTAGTATCATGTCTAAAGCTTCTTCAAGTGTTCTCCACTCTTCCTTATGCAAACTTCTACACAAGCTTTTAGTAGGTACATCCACGCTTCAGGTCTCACATGACTTAGTTCTACGCGGTCATATTCCAGCTAGCATAGTGCAATTCAACACTCTCTCTAACTATTATCTACTCTTGGTAATATACATGCATACGTGTATACTATAGTTACTATTAGATCAAAGGCACTGCTGGGTGGTATATTATGCATAATATACATGTACTACTGAAATAATGTTCATAAAAGATAGTTTGACTGCATATCTTGGCTCTACATTAAATTGCATAGCCTACTTGTTGTGTACATTTCACTCAAGCCACTTTTTTAGCTTAACACTATTGAATTAGGCCAACATTTTTTTATTGTACTGATAGGTTATTGTTCACTAGTTGTAGTGGGGCTATTATTTAGAGCTTGTGTCAAGTAGAAGAGGTGTTATTTTCTAAATCTTGGTTTTTCAAGCCTCACCTTTTTAGCCAATTTTTCTTTGTAATACTTTACTTAATTAGAACTTTTCCTATATGGCTTTGTAGCTTGAGAATAGGTAGTTATAGGGGGCCTAATCTTAAAAGGAGCATCTTTTTAGTTTTGGTACAACTGTGTTGTCAAAATCATGATTTTTAAGGGACAGGAGATGGGAAAGTCAAGCATTAGTAAAGTAGACTGTATATACTAAAAGAAAAGGAAAATTTCAGCAATTATGATGCATGATAAATGTCAAGTTTTATCGTATTATCGTACATAAAATCTCAATTTCATTAGTAATGATAATAATAATACTTTTTATCGTTGCTTTTATGTGAATGAAAACGTAATATGACGTATTTCAAGTGAAATACGCCTCAGAACATTCGGTCTAGCCGTGTTTCATATCCATGTGTTTACAGTATCTATGCTTAGAACTTCATGCTCTTATAGTAATCACACTATTGTATTCTATCACTTGTATTTTATATTTCAATCAATTGACATTCAATACTAGTATAGTGTCAACCACAACCGGAGAGTACATGAAACATTAAAGGGTTATATACCAACCCTAGGGAGTATATGTGATACATGTATATACACACGCATAAGATGTGTGGCTTCTTCAGGATATACACATGTAATTAACTGTGCTAATATATACCACAAATCCACGATGATATGGGAGTTGATATCCAGAGACTTTAAATTGATACCACCACCCAAAGGCCCAAGGGTAATATCAATTCAAAGTACCTGAGGTAGAGGGTGCATCAACCCATATCGGCATGTTATATTTCACCTCATTAATGAGATTCATAGACGAGATATATTATGTATAACATGCCGATTTGGGCCGATACACCCTCCACTTCGGGTACTTTAAATTAATATCACCCTTGCGCCTTCGGGTGATATCTATTCAAAGTATCCTCGGTCTAGGGATATCAACTCCCATATCATCATGTTATATATAACACATTTATAATACATACAATACACACACATATAATAATTTCTGACAGTCAAATATTTTAAAGTAAAGGACAAGAGAATTACGTAAGCTTACCACAGACTCATGTCTTTCAAGAGTTGGTGATCCCACACGCGGTACTCCTGCTGAAGACATGTTAAACTGCTGTCAGTACTGCAAACGTGTCGAGTTTAGAGTCTCTCTGCACAGTTCCTCAACTGAAGTGCCTAGGGGTGGAGCATAGTGCATGCAGCATGCATGCAGTACAGTACACGCATGCGCGGAGCAGACACACACACACACGTACATGTACACTGCACTGCACTAGTGTACGTGTACACAGACAAAATGCCTCATATGATTATGTCACTTCCTCTGCCTACTTCATAGATATACCTACGGCTATGATAAAAATGACTGTATTGTGTACTTTTTTCACTTTAGCAGCAGTTATCTTATTTATAATACTTGCAATTGACGGAAAAACGTCAGTGCATCAGATAAAAGATGATATTTTCTGCTCAGCCAGCTAAAGGTAGCAAAAGCTTGTCCACTGTCTCCGATTACTAAACCACACTTTCTAGCAAAAGCCAAGATATTGAATCTTTAAATAAAGTGCAGATCTTATTCATACTATTGCTGTTTGTTTGTAAAGTGTTTGTAGACTCCTATAGTCATCTACAAAATGCGATAGGTGAAGAAGTCTGACCAGTACAACTCAAGAATATTGTACTGCATTTAAATAAGACTGAAATTGATATCTTGTTTATTAGTCTTTAAACTGGATGCACTGACGTTTGAGTCAATTGCAAGTATTATTAGTGACATAACTACTGCTAAACTAAAGTTAAAAGAGAGAATGCTCCATTTTTACGAAGTTGGAGTAGGTACAGGAAGTGACATCATCCATGACGCAGGACTAACTCAGCTAGCCATATTATAGTATCGAGTATAGTATCTATGAGCTAGCTAGCTCAGCGCTCGATATGCCTACGCAGCCAAGAAGTTATCATCTCTGATACAGGCCACTACCCAAAATCAATGATTCAGGCCTGATGACTATTTTCGAGACTATTTTGATACAGCCCAGACTGGCATCAATGTTGAATCATGTCTGTTGCTCTGGCTAAACCAGGGCCGTACTCCAGCATGGGTGTATCATGGATGGTTATCATGATTGTATCATACTAGACTCATTGCTTTGCAGGCTGCCCAAAATCCATGATACAGAAATGTATCAAGGCTGATCCTGATTGATATCAGTCATGATTCAAAGTAAAATTCTTGGCTGTGTAGCTAATCTTTAGCTGAGCTGACTATGATGTGATAACCCAGCAGTCACTCTGATTGTTATTGTTGTAAATGTTGTTGCTTCACTTGTTTAAGTTGTTTCTCACAAAATAGCATTTGGTTTATAATTTTTTACATTTTACACTACTGCTGAATGAAGCCAAAACAAACAATAACACAAAATATGTTACCCATGTTTATAATCATTTCCATTTGAAACTTCTATTTTCTGGATCAGTATTAAACTTCCATGACTTCATATTAATACCAATGAATAGTAAATACCCAGCATATAGTCACAGAACTAGTTTAAACTAAGTCAATATAATTAATGTCAAAGGAAATATTTGTATAATTAATTAATAACACGGCTGTTACTAGAATTTCCAAAAATGTCATTAAATTACCAATTGCATAATAATTTTTTCTATTATTAATTTAAGATCAGTATTAAAAATAGTTAAATCACATAAAACACAGCTAATTTATTAAAATTGAACACAAAAAAATATTTATTTTTTTCCTTTTTTGGGTGCAGTTCACTATTGCTTAGCCTGCGCAGACACAGACACAGCAACAAATGCATATACATATCAGTATAAGTATTAGACCCCCAACTCCAACACTAACACCAATGACAATATCACGGCTAATATCAGAAAGAGAAAGGAGAGTCAAAATTCACAAGACACACCCAAAATCAATTCTTACATCAGTCTGAGATTACTATTCTCTTCGGAGGAACAGCATCCATTCAAGAAAGAGAAGTACATGCTACAGCACTCGTTTCTTTCGTTACCAAGGTCATCCGGACCGACACTAGAACAGTCAACGTCACCACAAGCTACCAAAATATTATTATATCCATCATATAACTGAACTCACTCATATTTTGACTATAAACAGCAGCAAAGAAACATAAAAGAACGAGAACATTCAGTAACAAACTCTTTTTGTACACTGCCATGACTCAGTAAATTTTTTTACAAAGAAAGCCGCGCCCTTTAATTTAACCCACATATCACGTGATGCTACAAGAAAAATTAAATTCATTGAAACATATGCATACTGCATTTTTCAAATTTATAAAAATTAATGTATAATACAGCGCCACTCAATCAATCAAAAAGATAAGGAGAATATATA